GGGGTTTAAGATTATGTTTTATCGATGATAATGTATTCACATTCCAACCTCATCGTTAAGAGTAAATGCATGTTTATGAGATGAATAGTACTAATAAATAGTACTCAAAGACAAAATAAATTGATGTTATATGTGGAATTAATTATTGTAGTTACTGGTTCCCTTAATAATATATAAAGTCGAAATGTCTGCTTGTGAATAAGAATGGATTAAATGTTAATTTGATAAGGAAGAACCAAAATGGTGATTTTATAACATAATAATCTATTCAATTTGGAAATTTTAGTATATATGGATAGATGAGTGAAGATGGAGAGTATTTGATGACTTGGGATTCCAATTCTAAGGAAATATAAATTAGAAAATATCATTAATTATGATCAAGAATGAATTATTATTAAAAATTATTAATTATTTATTCATCTATTCTGATACCATACTTTTTAAGATGATAATTTTATAATTAAAATGTTTTCAAGTAATTTTTAGATAACTATTCTGAAAAATAATACTTATTATATAGGATGGAATTTACTCAAATTTTAACTATTTCGATAGAAGTTCCATACTTATACTTTTCTATTTAATATCAAGTTTTAATCTTTTTAATAAAGTTTCATAAATTACAATAATATAGATTTAGATATTCTTTATCTTAGTTTATATTTATCGAATTGATTTTTCTAAAAAAACTGCCATACCATCTTCTAGATATCTATATTATAACAAAAAAACATTGAATTCAAATTTAATATAAACTAACCCATAAAAAGTTTAATTTATAGTTTTTGATAAAAAATATATATGAGATATTAAGATAACTCTTTGGCAATTTATTAGGATTAATACAACAGATAATTTTTTTCTATAATTCAGTTAATATAATCAATAGGACAAACTGAAAAACAGATGGATTAGATTAAAAAGAGTCATCAGCATATTTGACTATTTGAGTTTATTTAAATATTTTTTAAATAACTAATAGCAGATGAGTAATAATTTTAGTATATTTATCTAAGAATTTT